ATATGCAAATGACACTGAAGAGCATTATATTTTTCCCCCAAAGTAGGAGATTTCATGAATATGAAAAGAGTTTCGGTATAAGGAAAAAGGGGGAGTTTATTCCCTCCAAATTTGACTACAGCTCTAAAATTCTCTTTATTAATGCAAAGTTCCTTTGTCATTTTGACTTTGGGACACTGTTACCAAACCTTGTGGGAAATATCAAGTTCCAAAAACCTGGCAGAAACCAGTCCTTCCTGGGCCCAGAGTGAATGTTTGGTCCATATGAAAATGATCAGGAAAACTCACAGATGGAGATTGTTTAATGATTTGTGGTAACTCAGTCTCTTCCCATTAAACATATCCAAAGTTTTAACTTTTTCTCAAGAGGCTTCTGTAGGGAATAAGCATTTTATAATTTATCATTTAAGTAAGGAAAATATTGTCAGATGCTGCTTGAGAAGTTTACCTTTTACTTAAAACATTTTTATTATGCAATATTTGAGACGTACAAAAACATATAAAGATGACTGTGATAAAAGCCTATGAATATATTACCAAGGTTAAGAAAGAAAAAAATTGAGTGATCTTTCATTTATGACTAAATTCATTTACTAAGCATTAAACTTCTGGATTATTCCACTCAAGATATTTCGTTAGGTAGAAGGTCCGTAGGGATATTTATCAGCTTTCCTAATGCAAAAGAGCTAATTCTTAAATATTATTTGTTTTGTCCACATTTTCTTCCCTTTCGAACTTGTAAAGATTTTTTACTGTCCTCCTCTTTTGGCCTATAATATACTAACAATGAGAGTGCATATTGCAAACCCACACATCTTATTTATCAGAGGCTAAGAGTAGAGGACATTTCTGTATCAAAGATCGAAGATAACATGGTGTCATAATATTAGAAGATTTTCTTCTTATTTATTTAGCCTGATCTTTAGGGATTCTAGTTCCATATCTATTTATCATGTTTGTTTTAATCACACCAGAGATAACACCTAGCTTTGAATAACTTTTATGTATGAGATTTCCTAGCAACATATTATAGTACATGTAGATACTAAACGAATATACGAACATTTTTCTGTGCTACGTCAAAGTTCAGTAGGATTCCTTCTTAGAGACATTTAAAAATACTAAGCCAATCATCTTAAATATATTACCACTACTACTATTAAAATTTGCAGAGACTATGGCTAATGTGAAATACTAAACATGGTAGGGATTTCTTACACATCAGTCTCAGAGAGATGTTGCCCCTAGAGTCAGGGTCTAAAGAGTTAATCATTTTTGTGGCATAATTTTAGTTCAATTTAACGAAGATTTTACTGAGCACCTATAAGATGCTGGGCACTAAGCCAGATGCTGGATACACATGTCTGAGCCATTCGTGAGTCCTCGCTTGATGAGTTTGGTCAGAGACTCACTCTTTAGCTAGAGTGGATGATTTTGCATTTAGGCTCTCTAGGGTCAGTCCTTATTGAATATGGTCTGTAAAGGAACAGTGTAATGTTTTGAAAAGAAAGGAAACTTGAGACAGAACCCAAAGATAGAACCTAAAGAAAGTATGATTTTGGCATGTGGTTGGTAGAATCACTATAATGTTAAGGTGATTTAAACCTTGGATCCATCAATAGTCATTTCAGCTTTTTATGTGTTACTGATGTTTTATTTCTTGTGAATGTATTATTGAGATTTACATATTTAAAAAAGGAGCACAAAGATACGAGTAATACTTATTTTTTAAAGATTTTATTTATTTTTACTAGAGAGAGAGAGAAGTCAGATGGGAGAAGAGATTGCGAGAGCACAAGGACAAGTGGGGGGAGGGGCAGAGGGAGAAGCAAACTCCCCTCTGAGCAGGGAGCCTGACCCTGGGATCATGACCTGAGCTGAAGGCAGACGCTTAACTGACTGACCAGGTGCTCAACTAGTAATATATATATGTCTATGTGTGTGGGTACATCTCTACGTATGTACATGTATATTTTCTATTGGGATTTGGAATTCTTTTCCCTTTGTGGAATTTCTTGTAGAGAATTCTAGTACTTTAGAGTACTAGAGTATTTCCTCCCCTACCACAATAGTACCATTATATTCTATTATTAACCGAGGTGTAGCAAGTCACACTGCTCATTTAAGAGCATTTATAAAACAAACTAGGTAAAGATGTGGTTTTCTTTCATTCTTTGGGATTTGCATAACATTATAAGAGAGCACAAACACTCTCAACTACATGCTGTTAATGTCTGTTTCCAGTGATTTCAGGGAGGATTGTGTATACTGCAGTTTTCGCAGGGGCAAATTCACTTTCTGGTTCTTCTTGACATTATTATCTAGACAGCTTTCTTGGGTAACTTGAACTTGCCATCATCGTCTCTGCTTACCTTCAACCTTAAAGGACCTAAAGGAGATAGTGTTTTGAACCTGAGTTCTCTAATTTTTCCTGCTTTCCCCAGGAAAGTTATGAGCCTGAGGACAGCAGGTTTAAGGAAGGAAAGGGAGAGGAGGATGCGCATTTTTTTTTTCTGATGCTGGCATTATGCATTATTATGACCAGATGCATTAAGTCCCCAGCATGCAGAGGGACAGAGAGCATACTTGAGTGGGAGAGAAATAGATATTTTTCCATGTCATAATTTTGTAGCTTGGTTTCACTTTGTGACAAAGTATTGTCAATTCCCAGAACAATAAACCTGAACCAAATTGAAATATATATATATATCAAGCTAACTAGAATTCCTAAAAATCATCCCTACCACTTGGAATTACTAACACCACTCCCCATGCCTCTGTCCCCTTTAGACCAGGTAGCTGAAATGGATACTAGATGCAGTGCGGGTCCGTGTATGTCTCCTTTCTTGTAAATCACTTTTGTGAAGCACAGTGAAAGGGCTTGGATGCTTTAAGAAGAATGTGGATTGCACTGCAATCCCTGCATTTACCTCTGTTCTGAGGTCTGGTTGCTGAGCTCTCCTTACCTAAGAGCCAGTGTGTCCTTAGGTTGTGAGAAGATGAACATAACCCGTGAGAAGATAAGCGCAGACTAAGGGAAATGAGCATGTCTAACATTTAGCATTATAACCAAACAGAAGTTAAAGCTATGTGGACACATATTGATGGTCTACACACCAGTATTGTGCTATATGCTACTTTGTAACAATGGTCAACAGCAGATGACTGGAATTATTATGAAATGTATACAACCAATTTAGAAAAATGGCTTTTGGGACCCAGATCTCTTCTTTCGGATGCAGGGACCTGGATGACAGATGGCTCTGCCAAAGATCCCAGGACCGGGACTGAGGTCTCAAGTCTCACTGGACTTAAGAAAGAGCTGTTTTCTTGCCCACAGTGTAAGTTGCCCCTTTCTAGTGAAGAGCTAATATGGAGCAAAGTAAAGATCAGGCTGTGACAAGGTGTGGTGAGAGGGAGGAAGTAGGGGCAGGGGACCTGGGAGAGGGCAGCCTAGCGTCTGGGGACCATCAGTTTATCTCCATTGGAGAATGCTCTCCCAGGAGGCTCCATATCCAAGCATTTCTGTGGGCATTCCATAAACTGGGATTGTATTTGCTTCACCAGAAAATATCCACGAAGGCACAGACAAGGAGGAGTATCCATTAGTCACTTCTAAGTACGAATTAATGTCCTTATTTGATCTTTCTAGACTCCTACCTAGCTGAGATAGAGCATGGGACACTGTAACAGAGGATGTGATGGAAACTGTATTGAGTGGCTTTAGACAACCAGGTGGAAAATGAGAGCAATGGGCCCCCAGGAGATGGAAGGAAAAGGCATTGGGTCAAAAGGGACCAGAGGGGTCAGGAAAATGTAATATGGGAACATAGAAAGGAAAGTGGCAGGAAAATAGTAGAAGGAGTGGGGTGGGACCTGTGGGCCTCGACTGGTGCTCTGCAAAGTCAAGGTGTGTGTGAGGCTTTTATGACGGGCTTGGCCTGGAGCCAGGCCCACTTCTTGGTGGGAGTTACTTTGTGAACTCAACTGGCAAAGGAAATCTGTGCCGGCTCAAACTTACATGAGACGGAGAGAGGCTTCAGATGTCAGTTTCTTTATACATGGGAAGAGCTGTATATTTCGGACCAATGAGCCACCAGCAAGGTCTTCCTTCAAATGGGACGTGTTGTGTGTCACGGTGCTTGCATGACACCTGGCCATGTGTCCTTCTCCAAAGCCCCTGTACTTCTTGGTGTTTTGTGGTCTGTTGTTTCTTGCCAACAGCCCAGTTCTGCTCTCCGCATTTTCCTTACTTATTCTTATTTGATTATAGAACACCCATTTTACTAACCCACTCTGATGACTGTAGGTTTTTCCATCAGAGAAACAATGTCTGGTTTGATTAAGGCTACCATGGGTCAAAGAAAGTTTTGGGCCCATATCAGTTTTTGGATTAGACTCATTTTTGGACATCCTAGACTTTAGGGCAGAGTCAAAGCTATGTATTTATGAAGCCATAGTCTCCTGACCTCATCCTATTTTAAAGACATAAAGCATTTATATGTCGTGCTATATTAGTTACGGGGCTATATTTGAAATGGTTTACAAGTCACTAAGGAGAGAAACGTATATAATACTTTCCCCTTTTTAAAAAAATTTTTAAAAAGATTATTTATTTATTTAGAAAGGGGGGAGGGTCTGAGGAAGAGGGAGAGAGAGAATCCCAAGCAGATTCCGCGCTGAGCATGGAGCCTGACGTGGGGCTTGATTCCGCAACCCCAGATCATGACCTGAGCCAAAATCAAGTTGGATGCTCCAATGACTGAGCCACCCAGGTGCCCCAATACTTTCCTCTTTAAAAATCACATGGTATAAAATGAGTTTTGCTTTATGTGCCCTAATCTATATTATATCCTATGCTTTTTCTCTTATTACAGAACACAGTTCATAACTAAGAAAAACTGAACAGGAAAATCAGTATATTTCATGATCTGCACAAACTTTTTAAATGTAATTTAAGAAAAATATGAGCACTAAAAGTATTTCAAAGATAACAGAAATTCAGAAATGTAATGCGTTACTAAAGTTCCAACAACACATGAGTCTCTAGTGTCTCACTAGAATACAGTCCCTGATATCCTGAATTAACATCACGTGTATTTCAGTGGGGTTGTGGGAGGGAGGATTACAAGTAAATGCACGGTCCATTTAGAAAGGGTGGCGCGATGGCATGTTCTGAAAATCCAGGTCCGAATGAGCTGGAAACACCCTGAAAACAATCTGTCAAATACCGAACCCAGCTCAAAGAAAAGCACGGCAGGAGTCCGGTGGTGTGCCCCTCAGTAAGCTCTGCGGCATTCATATGACCCCCACGCCATGCTCCCGTCTTCTTTGGTCCATGAAGAAGGGTCCTGAAGGCCAGCGGTGTCTGCCCCCTCATCTGGGGAGAGGGGCACCACCTTGTGTGGTAGGTCATTGGACATCGTCATGAAAGGGGTGAAGGGATGGGGGGGTGGCATGGGGTACCCCGGCACATGGTACAGATCCTCCAGTGCATGCAGTGAGTAGGACAGAGCCCCAGCCAGGGGGCCCCCCCAGCTCGAGCTCCTGTGAGGGGTGGTGCTCCCTGACTCCGGCTGGGAGAGGCAACCTGCGCTGGGTGGCAGGGTCTGCAGGGTGTCGGTGGGCACGGGGTCGGCCTGGCTGAGACAGTCGGGCGCCGTTTGCTCCCACGAGTCCCTCTGAGGAGAATGGAAAGGTGACTGGGGTTAGTCATCAGGGGATACTCTGATGCGGACAGATGTCCTTACCAGCACTGGCTGCCAGCGGACACGGCTTCCAGAGTGGACTCGGGGCCCTCCCTCTGCTGTTCCGTCTGCTGTGGCTCCTCACCAGGCACCTGTCCCCTCTGTTTGACACCGGCAGTGAGAGTTTAAGTTCCTTTCTAACTCTAGCGTTCCGTTCCCTAGATATATTACAATCCCTTTCTCTAGATAACAACATTAAATGAGTAAAATGAGGGAACAACAGAATGAACATTTGTACAGCATTTTACCACTTCCAACGTACCATGTCTTGCATTCCTTCTGAGCTTCACAATACACAGGGTCCTAAAATGCCCTGTCCACACTAGGGACGTCAGCTCCGGCTACTCCTGAAAGAAGCAGGTCTCTAAACTACATGATGGGCTTCTCCCCTCCGTGAGCCAAGAGGTAGGAGCTTCCAGAGGCTTGGAGCTGGAAAGATTTGGGTTCAGTCCCTGGCTGCGCCACTTACTCCTTCCTGACGCTGAGTACCTCACTTTGTTCATCTGTAAAATGGGGCTTTAGCAAGTATATCCCGAGTTGTTGCAAGTGTTAAATGACCAAAGGCACACAGAAGTTCCTGGCTGGAGTAGTTTCCCCATAATGTTAATTCCCACCCCCTTCTACCCCCCATAGTCGAAAGTCCCATCTTTAGAGATTCATTCCTTTGTATTTGAAGGCTTTACAGTTTTCTCTAAGATGGGTGTTGTATTCTTCAGGTCTTTATGAACTCACCTCTTTGTTAGGATCGAGGGAGAGCAAGATTCTATAGGGTAGAAATATTGTGGGGAGGGGCGTTGTGGGGACTGGGAGGGAAGAAGGCCTGATGTGCCTGCTCTGGCAGATGCCAGCCTAGTCTGTGGGTGTGGGACCTCAGTGCTCTTTCCTTGGGTGCGGGAGGAACGATCTGGCAGGATCAGCAGAGTACTAGCAAAATGGACACAGACCCTGCCGTATAGTCGTCCCCTCACAAGCCCCTGGACAGACCCTCTCGCGGTCGGAGTCGGCGCGGATCTTTGAGGGAGGCCCCTCGGAGCGTGTCCTGGCGGAGCAGCCGCAGGGGTGCGCAGGGCGAGCCAGATCTGGCTTCCACCTGGTTGCCAGGTGCACGCACTGGCCAGATGTGCGCGCGCCCAGACTTCACCTTGCTCCCTAACCGTGAACCACCTGCATACTCACAAGCACGAAGTGCGTCGTGGGGTCCCCAGGGAAAGGTGGCAGGAGCGGCGGCAGGGGTGAGGCGCTGAACAGAGAGCCGGTGCCGGGGGTCAGGCCCGGGGGCCGGTGGTCTCCGTAGGGCTCCGGGAAGTAGGAATCCAGGAGGCCCGGGTGGCTCTGCCCTGCGGGGGCCTCGCAGGCAAAGGGCTTGGCCGCGGGGCCCGAGGTGCCGACGTCGCTCGCGAACTGTTTAGCGTTGTGGAGGTCTGAGTCTGAGAGGAACGATCTTCTGACCCCATAGTAACCTGTCATTACTGGTGAACCTGTTGCCAAAGGGAAAAGAATTGGGCAAAACTGTCCCCATGGGAAGTCTGGGTGCATCTGTGGCAGCCGAGACTCTCCACGTGGGGAACGGTCTTTCTAACGCGGGCCGGATACCAAGGCAAATATTTAAATAGAGATAGGTCTTGAAAAGCATTAAATATTGCTGCATTGCCTCTTTTAACTGGTCCAGCCCAAATAACTAATACGTTTAACCTTCACTCTGCCTTTGGAGATGAGCTCATTTGAGATGGCGCAGTAACTCTTCTCATTCACTCAACATACGTTACGCACTTTCTGTGTTCCAGTTACTGCCCTAGGAAAAGTTTGGGCGCAAAGAGAAAAGAAAAGAAATCCCTCGCCCATCTACATTCTATCAAATGAAGTGTCTTTTTCCCAGTGTCTGAGCTCTGTCTCCATGTACATAGGACGGCGAACAGCAGGCCGTTTCTGGGCATGGTATCTGAGGCTCAGTATCTCTAGCCCCAGGGACACTATAATCCCACCCCAGATCAGAGGCAGGTTGTATGCTTCTCCTACTTCTTTGTATACGGACCTTCTAACGTATGTCTCATACCTAGTAGGCATCAAGAAGTGGCTCGCTTGCTCTGGGATGATAGAGCTACTGTGCCGCCAAGTCAGAGGACTACCCAAAAAAAAAAAAAAAAAAAAGTTTTCTGGCTTTCTCATGTTATTTGCTGCCCTCTTGTGTCCATGGGCAGTCCCTGACTCAGTTCACCCGGGCCCTGGGAGAGTTTGGGAAGAGAATACCTTGTACAGAAAGGTTTCTTGGTGAAAACAGGGGGAAAAGGTGAAGCTAAGAAGAGTCTCATTTATGGCAAGGCCAGTGAAATTGTCCCATAAGGAAAGAGAGGTGTTTGCTACAGCCTTTCAGATCCAGTAGCTCAGCTGTAGCAGGAAACACATTATCATTTAGAACATATTGAGGGACATAGACTCAAGCTCCGTAAAATGGATGGTTTCATTATTCCAGCTGGTGGTGGATGTGGTCTAATTAGCTAAGACCTACACCCTGAGGTCACAAAAAGGCTGAGCTGGGAGGAGGATGCAGGTGCTTGTCGTTTTTACCTTCCCCCAACCAGAGTGGACCACTTGCGGACTCTGTCCCAATCCACTCTGCTTACTTGTCCACAGGGACAGAAGACCATTCTCCTTTGTTATTATGACACAGTCACACATTACTCCACCTACATGGCACTTTGGCCCTTGCCACATGGTGTGGCACTTTATATTAGGCTCACTACTCCCTCACCTGAGTTACAATCCTGTTTCTAATCCACCTGCCAAGTCCATGGGGCAGAGCTTATGTCTTATACATTTGCTGTAAACCCAGTAGTATAATACTGTGTTCAACAATTACATGTAAATTTATTCATTCATTCAGAGGAAATCAGAACTCCCTGTAGAAACTTACAGCAAATTCTACTCACTCTACTTTCATCTTAAATTCTATAGCCCCAAACTTCTAATCTGCTCATGAATTTGAAAGCTGCGGTTAGGGGTTTCATCATAAGCATACTTCCATAGAAGAAAAAAATGTGTGCAAGTGAAAATTAATATCAATAGATAAAATTCTGTTTCATGCCATGAGTTTATATCCACGGGAGTCATTAAGGCTGAGAAGAGAATGAGGAATAGGTAAACAAGGCTTCCAGGATCTCATGTCTTCGCTTCCCATTTCCAAGTAAAAACAACCACCAAGGAAAAAAACCTGTGCTCTCTTATGCATATATTTTTCTCCTAAAAAGGGGAAGAATAATTTGAGATAGTAAGAAAAGCTGCAAAAATGTCCTTCTATAGAAGGGAGCAGATGTAACCAGATTCCAGTGAAGGTAAACATGATTGGAAAACACAATGAGACGTTCGGATATGTGAGATTTCTTATTGCTCTCATTCCTCTTCTTACCCAGCTCTGAAGCTTACTAAAATTATTGAGAAAGCCTAAGCCACTTCTGAGTTTGGGATCTGAAAGGAGTGTCTGTGTGTGTGTGTGTGTGTGTGTGTGTGCGTGCGCACGCGTGCATGAGCATGTGCATGCGGATGGGAGTCTGAAACCCTATTACTAAGAATGAGAATGCCCCTTTCCCATCTCCACAGGAGGATTTAATGAGACATATGTATTGAAATGAAGACCAGATGCTTATCAAAGTGCCTGACCTATAGAGAGCACCCAGTAAATGGTAGTTCCTCCATCTGCCCACTGGTCTCTCTCCTTCTGTTTTAAAGCAGGTGTATAATCTAACAGATCACGGTGCCAGAATTTTAGACATTTTAAAATTGTATCAAGGGCCTGATTGCTATTGTTTCTGCTCAGTAAGCTTCTCCTTGGCAAGGGATGGAAAGGCTGCCTTCAAGACAGAATGAACTCTGAGGTCAGGAATGACTGAATTAGGTGTGTCTTCACTGATTTTATATTTTAAAAATACCTAGATTGAAAAAGTAAAATTTCCAAAGTGCTGTAAGGCAGTTATAAAAGAATGGAAGCCCCAGTGTCTGACTTGAATGCAAAAGGGAATTAATCAACTGCTCGTTGAACTCAAGTACTCACCTGGCATCTGAGCAAATGGAGACTGGGGGTTGCTGACACCGCTCTGGAAGGCAAAGATAGTGCAATGTTTTCTTTAGTTGCAACTTTGAATTAAAAAAAAAAGATTAGGGATACATTTTACAAGCTTTATTTTCTGATACTAAGAAACATTATTGGGGGGTTAAACTAGGAGGGCAACCAAGATTAAGAATTCAAATATCAGGGGGTGCCTGATACTCAGTCGGTTGAGCATCCAACTTTTGATTTCCGCTCAGGTCATGATCTCAGGCACTCAGCAGGGGCGGGTGGGGGGGCGGCCTGCTGGAGATTCTCCCTCTCTGTCTGCCCCTCCCCCTGCTCGCATACTTGATCTCTCTCTCTCTTTCAAATAAAGAAATCTTTAAAAAAAAAAAATCAAGTATCAGAGAACCAAGTTTTATGAGAGATGAGAGAAACCAAAGTTAGATTCTGGTAAACATGCCAAAAAGCACAGGCTAGATGAAATGGAATAATCTGTCTTTTGTTTTTTATTGCTTGCGGTAATATCAAATATAGATCCAAGTGATTTATATACATACAGGACCTTTGAAGATATTACTGGTTACATTAAGATGAGGTCATACTGAATTGGGGTGGACTCTAAATCCAACATGACTGGTGTCCTTCTAAGAAGAGGAGAGAGACACACAGAGACACAGACACAGAGGGGAGAAGGCTATGTGAAGACAGAGGCAGAAGTTTGAGTGATAGGACCTCAGGTTAAGAACCAGCAACCACCGGCAGCTGGAAGAGGCAGGGAGGTATGCTCCCCTAGAGCCTTCGGAGGGAGCCGGCCCTGCTGACACCTTGATTTTGGACTTCTAGTCTCCAGACCGTGAGACAATGCATTTCCGTCACTTTAAGCGCCCCACCCCCCATTTGTGGCACTTTGTTACTGTAGCCCTAGGAAACTAATATATTACTGACGATGAAGCAGACGATGCAGTGTAGTATGAGAAGTGACGTGGTTGGGGAAAGACCGAGTGAGGGGGGCACCTAAGCTGGTATTAGGGATGGGGTGGGGAACGCATCCTTGTTGCCGAAGCTGACCTCTGGAGGAAGGGTATCCAGGTGTGCTGAGTCCTAAAATGTACAATTGCAAATTCTGGCTCCACGCTGCCCAGGAACAAAGTTATTTAGGAAAAAATAGCTGTTGCAAAAGTTAAGAGTCCTGAACATCTAGTTCTTTGGATCTGAGCTCCTGTCCCTCGCAGCACTATAGATTCTCAAAAGTTGGAAGAGATCTTATAGAGAGCCTCACGCAACCACCCACTCAGTGCCAAAATCCTGCCCACATTATTAACACTGGGCGCAGTTAGCCTCAGGGCTGCAGAACCCAATGCCCTCTCAGAAAGCCCATTTCTTCTCTGGGCACTTCTGACTGTCACAAAGCAGGCAGAAAAGAATCACTTTCTTCTTTCTCATCTTTTTGGTCCATACACAATAGGGTTTAATCCTTTTTCCATATATGGCCCTTCAAATATTTCAAGAGAACCCATTATTTCCCCAGCTGTCTTCATCAGTTTGGGCTGCTATGCCAGATACCATAGACTGGGTGGTTTAAACAAGAAACATTTCTCCCGGTGCTGGAGGCGGAAGGGTGCCCGCGACGTTGGGGTCTTGGGGACCCTCTGCCTGCTTTGCTGGCTTCTCTCTTTGTCTTCATGTAGCAGAAAGAGAGATCATCTCTCTCATGTGTCTCTTCTACGAGGGCACTAATCTCATTCACAAAGTCTCTACCGTCACAACCTAATTAGTTCCCAAACACCAAATACCAACTATCATTCTGTTGGGGCTTAGGGCTTTAACGTATGAGTTCTGAGGGGACACAAACATGCAGTTCATAGCACCAAACTGGCACTTAATCTTCTCCAGGCAAAATGTCCTCCAACCACGGGGCACCTGGGTGGCGCAGTTGGTTAAGCGTCCAACTCTTGATCTCAGCTCAGGTATTGATTTCAAGGTTGTGAGTTTAAGCTCCACACTGGGCTCCATGCTGGATGTGGAACCTACTTTAAAAAAAAATCGGGGCGCCTGGGAGGCTCAGTGGGTTAAGCGTCTGCCTTC